AATTTTTTAAATTGTCACAAATTTCCAAAAATTTTAATATGTTTTATTGAAAAAAATCCACATTTAAGTGGACCCACACAGTTCAAACTTATGTTCAGATACTAACTACTATATATAAAATAGATAAACAACAAAATCCTAGTGTATAGCACAGGAAACTAAATTCAATACCTTGCAATAACATAAAATGAAAAAGAATATGAGAAGGAGTATACATATATATGTGTGTGTGTGTGTGTGTGCGCTATGCACCAAAAATTAACACAACATTGTAAACTGACTATACTTCAAAAGAAAAATAGAAATCTATGTTGTTCAAGAGTCAACTTTATAAACAAATTAGCATAAAATATAATGGAGACGCTGTGTTATAGATAACATCTATTTGATGAATAGTTATTGCTCAGCTCCATTGTGCCAGGTACTGTGCCTGGTACACAAAAACTATTAAGCAACAGAGGCCAAAGAGCCTCAAAACAAAAGGACTGAATTGCCTCAAATGTCTGAAAATGGAGCGTGACTTCAGGATCATGGTGGCGTGAGATGTCCTCATTTTCATCCCCTCATTCATCAATAAAAATTCAGCATCCATCCATGATCAGAAGTGCTCCTATGGGAGATGTGGGATCCAGCTCCATATGCCAAGGGACTTGGGACGTCTCATCCACAGGTATGTTGGGTCATAGGCAGGACCAGCTTCAAGACAAGCTGTGGAACCTACAGGAGGCTGTGAGTGAGTTCTGACCCCTCTGGGCCTCTGCTGGAGTGCCCGTGGAACACTGGCTGGGCTTGTCACCTATGGACGAGAGAACCTCTGTGGAAGTCCAGATTTTCAGATGAGAAATTCCAGCAATCCATTGTAGCAATACATACTCATATGATCTTGGATGCACTGGAGTATGAAGAATGAACGTCTTGACTTTGCCAGCATCACTGCCCACCAAGGTGTCAGAGCTTGGTCTCTTGAATCGCCATCTAGTGCCAATTCCACTTACCACACGGCGGCCTCTTCTCTCAGGGCCAGGTTCTCATACACACAGTTCCTGATCCACAACCAAAACACAGGTGGGCTTTTATTCCCTGTAGTCCATGGTTCTCCCTCCAGCTCCAATTTCCTCCTCTTCCCCACCCCAGCATGAGCAGGAAGAACCGCCTGCTCTACCAACCAAGCACGCCTGTGACCCCACCCGGTAAAATGGTCCCCAGAGCTGGGCAACGTCCTATAAACAGCAGTGGAGCCGGATAACAGGATTCCTAAAAAACCACCTTCCATTCACCTCTGTGCTCAGCATTTCATTATGTAGATGCTTGGGTTTTCTCGAAGAAGGGAGTAGGATTTCCAGATGCCAAGGTAACTCACTTCTACTACACATTAGCTCTTAGTGTCTAAACTTTGAAACTTTCCCTGGCAGAGTGAATCTTCTCCAGCAACTACAGGTGCACGCTCACACAGGTGTATCCATATGTACACACACATGCCCTTAGACATCTGTCTCCACCTACGTGAACACTTATGCATACATACGTGCACACATAGGTAACACATACACACTGTCATCACTTTAGAGTAAAATGCTGTGTGAAGGCAGCAGCAGAAAGAGCACTAAACTGGCAATTACAGGTCCTTGAACATGACTGTAATTCATCCTGCTTCTGCTTTCATTTCTCTTCAGACCCGAATAACCAGATACGTTCTCACGTTCTCCCGCGAACTTTTCAATGAAGGTAATTCATTCAACACAGATTAAGCTGAGGTCATTGTGGGCGGCTTCCACTGTCAGTTGCTATTTCATTGCTGCTGCTCCAATAGTCAGAACCAAAATGTGAATCTGTGTTTGTTAGGCATCCAATGGAGCAAAAAGGCTTTCAACACTGCCATCCTCACCCAGCCCTGATCACACTTCTGATGCTTATGCCCACTTCATGAGGTTGTTGTGAGGCTGTAAAGGGTTAATGCAATCAAAACACTTAGAGCAGGCTTTCCAGTTCAGTTCGCACATAAGGGGCTTGGGAGCCAACACTCTATCCTAACAAGTAAAAAGCTGAACAGACTGAAAAGTCAACAGCTTTTCTTGGATGCATAAGAGAAGGGAGGACAGTGTCCCCAAGACTGGGGAGAAGATAGGCAAATGCAGGGAGTTGCAGTTTACCAGATTAGAGACCCACAGGTGGGAACGGCTGCAGGAATCTGTGCTGTGACTGATGCATTGCTGGAGGCTCAGTGTGGACGGGCCTTGGAGTTAAAAACTCCAGGGGCACCCAGTAAGGGAACCCCCCACAATATTGTGAGATTTACCTGCAGGAGCTGGACAAGGTTCCCACAGTAAATGTCAGAGAAAAATTCCCTCGTGTTTCCAGCAGGGGGCAGAAAAGGAACCCTTTGTAAATACTCAGAACACTAGTTCTGAACAAGGTGGGCCCTCAGGGGAAACTAGTTAACCTTAACCTAACCTGCTGTGGTATTACCAGAGACTAACTGACCTGAGGGAAAGGAAACACCCATTTCCCACCGGCAATAACCATTCTGTCCCTACCAAGGGTAGAGAGGACAAAACTGAGAAATTCTTGTGAAGTTCACAGTCAAGAGGCATAGACTCACTAAAAACACTTAGAATGGTGTCTGTCATGTCGGAAGAATTCACTGGGTCAGCTTTTATCACACACTCACACATAAGCTCCATGAGTACAAGGATTTTTGTCTGCTTTTTTCCTGCTGTACCTCCAGCTCCTACTTAGGAAAGACACCAGGCTCATAGCTTCAGACCTGGACCCTGGCTTCCTTCATCCTTCCTTCCCCCACCTTCCCAGCCAGGTTTAGTGTCTGGATCTGCCTTAGGAAAGAGAGAGGGCAGACAGGGAGAGGGATTGGAAGTGGCAGAAAGTCCAAGACCTGTTCCTGTGGACACCTTCGCTAGCCCCACCTGGAACCTGTAGGGAGCGAGGGTCCAGGGGAGGGCAATGAGATTGGGACCATGTCTCACATACCTTCACCCCAGGCTCCACCCCAGTCCACTTACACCTCAGTCACCTTCATTTTTTTGTTCCCCCAGCTCAGCCTCTTCCCTGAAGGACTGGGTGCTTGCCTGTATTGAATAAACATAAATCCAGGTGGAAAGAAAAAGAAAGAGAGAGAGAAAAGAAAAGGAAAAGAAAAGAAAAGAAAAGAAAAGAAAAGAAAAGAAAAGAAAAGAAAAGAAAAAAAGGAAAGAAAAGAAAGGAAGGAAGGAAGGAAGAGAAGGAAAGGAAGAAAGAAAAGGAAGAAAAAGAGAAAAGGAGGGAAGGAAGAAGGAAAAAGGAAGGAGGGAGGGAGGGAAAAGAAGGAAGGAAGGAAGGACAGACTTACACAGGCTAGATGATCAATAAACATTTGAGAAGTGAATAATCAATCTGGTAATTACAAGGACTTTAGGAGAAAGGGCAGGGGAAAAGTAGGGAGTAAGAAGAGAAAAGGGAATAGAAGACATTATAAAGAAACAGAGGCAGCACTATTTACAATAGCCAAGACATGAAAACAGCCTAAATGTCCGTCGACAGATGACTGGATAAAGAAGATGTGGTATATTTATACAATGGAATACTATTCAGCCATAAAAAGTGACAGCATAACGCCATTTGCAGCAACATGGATGTCCCTGGAGAATGTCATTCTAAGTGAAGTAAGCCAGAAAGAGAAAGAAAAATACAATATGAGATTGCTTATATGTGGAATCTAAAAAAAAGATGAACATAAATACAAAACAGAAACAGACTCATAGACATAGAATACAAACTTGTGGTTGTCAGGGGGAGGAGGGTGGGAAGGGATAGACTGGGGGTTCAAAATTTGTAGATACTGACATGTATATGTAGAATAGATAAACAAGATTATACTGTATAGCACAGGGAAATATATACAAGATCTTGTGGTAGCTCACAGCAAAAACGAATGCAACAATGAATATATGTATGTTCATGTATAACTGAAAAATTGTGTTCTACACTGGAAATTGACACAACATTGTAAACTGACTATAACTCAATTTAAAAAAAAGAAAGAAACAGAGGGAGCAGCCCCCCTGAACAGCATTCTTTGACACCGGAATTTACTAAATCCTGTAGGTCCTCTAACAACCTTCTGAAGCTGGTATTGTTACTGTCTCCATTTATAAATGTGCAAATTAAGACTCAACTAGACTAAATGACCCATGACTGATTAATTAAGAAGGACATTTAACCCTGCTCTTCTAATTCCATCCTGCACAAAGTGGCTCTTTCTAGAGCAAAACAGAGCAAAGGAGGAGAGAGAGGACTGACCCTGCTAGACGGAGTGGACGACGTGACAACGTGTTCTCCCTGACTCTGCTTCCCATCACCCCAGGCTGCCATCAGTTCTCAGTCCTTCAAAACTTCCTGGTCCATCCTGCCTGGTACCCATTAACTCAACTTCTGTCAAGGAGTTCTAAGGTGGTAAGAACCCTGAAAGCAGAACTTAGGGAACCAGGATCCTAGTCCCCACCTTGCTCAGGACTTCTTGGGTGACTTTGGTAAATCCTTTAATCTCACTACAGTTATTTATTCATCTGCCTACTGACAGCATGATATGAAGGAATATGAATAATGTGCCCGAATGTCATAACAGAAAAGAGACTGAATTTCATCAAGCACTGTGTTAGCGACAATAAATGAATTATCTAGCGCTATTATCACCTGTGTGGATGAGATACCTGAACATTCAAGAGGCGCCCTCAACCTCTTGTAATTTTCCTGAATGAGCCTTTTGTGATCCCCTTCAGGGTAGAGATTACAACTTACTTTTATTTGTATCCGGTGCCTCACTCACTGCAGACACTCAATAAATATTTAATGACTGAAGGGTTGTGAAAACATGTGGATTATTCTTCCAAAAAGAGCTAAGAAGACAGTTGTCATTACAAACATCAGACTGGAGATGCAAAGCCTGCATTAGATGCTACAAGATGGGACGTTTCCCAGGTTCCAGGCTCGGAAGATTCCTTGGAGTGTCACTTCTCCCCTGAGGTCCCCTTGACCCCAAACAGTTTCCTCATGGCATTTTTCACCTCATTGTTCCTCAGCGTGTAGATGAGAGGGTTCAGCAAAGGTGGCATGACAATGTTAAAGAGGATGACAAGTTTGTCTGCAGCCAGGGTGGTGGAGGGACGAATGTACATGAACATGGGGGGCACAAGGACCAAAAGGACCATGATGATATGTGAGCCACATGTGGACAGAGCCTTGTGCTGGCTCTCAGATGACCGGCTTCTCAGGTTCAGTAAGATGACCACGTAGGAGATGATAAGGACGATGAAGGACACCAAAGAAATCATGCCGCTGTTGGCCACCACAATGAGCCCCACCACATAGGTGTCTGCACAGGCCAGCTTCAGCAGGGGATGGACATCACAGAAGAAGTTGTCAATCTCATTGGGCCCACAAAAGGGCAGCTGGACTGTGAGGAGGGTCTGCAGGATGGAATGCAGGAAGCCAGCCACCCAGGAGGCCCCCGCCAACAGGCCACGATCCATGATGGTCGTGTAGTGCAGGGCCCTACAGATGGCCACGTAGCGGTCATAGGCCATGGCTGTGAGGAGGAAGATCTCAGTGCCACCGAAGAAGTGGGCAGAGAAGAGCTGGGTCATGCAGCCACTGAAGGAGATGGTCTTACGCTCAACGAAAGTGTCCGCAATCATCTTGGGTGTGGTGGCGGATGGATAGCATATGTCGGCAAAAGACAAGTGGCTGAGGAAGAAGTACATGGGAGCATTCAGGGTCTTGCTGGCATTGATGGTGATGATGACCAGAAGGTTCCCCAGGACGGTGAGCACGTGGAACAGGGAGAAGACCAGGAAGCACACGTGCTGCATCTCCCGGCTCTGGAAGAGGCCGAACAGCACAAACTCTGTCACAATGTTCTTGGTGCCCATGGATTCTCTGCACTGAGCACTGGACAAGGTGGTTAGCTCTGCAAGGACACAGATTACACGAGATGAGAAAGCTTCCCAAACCCAGGAGTCAGAAAACTGTATTCAAATCTAATAATGACCCTGGTACCCTATTTAAACTGAGGGAGAGGGGGTTCCCCACATCTAAAAGAACTTCCCAGACACCATTTGGGTGTCCCACAATTCAACTCAGTTCTGACTCTACCTAGAGATAGTGTCAGATCCCACAGGGTAACGGTTCAGTCCTATAAGACTGCCTCCCACCTCCAGATGCCAGTTGCAAACCTGTGTTTCTGACCTAATGGTTATAGATTGGAGGTTTCAGTCACCTCCTCAGTTGACTTGCATGAATCACCAACAGAGCTTAGAGAAAGATTTTACTTACTAAACTACTGGTTTACTACAAAAGGAAAACCCAGAAACAGCCAGGTGGCAAAAATGCATAGGGCAAAGTATGTGCATGGATGTGGAGATTCCATGCATCTCTCTGCCCAGTCTCCACCTGTTCAACAACCTGGAAGCTCTCCAAACCCCATCCTTTTATGGAGGCTTCATTACATAGGCATGGTTGATTAAATCATTGGCTACTGCCGAACAATTCAACCTCCAGCCCCCAGGTCTGTGCCAGACATGGACTTAACTCCTTGTTCATATCAGCTCAACCACCTTTGGAAATTCATTTTATGTATTCTCTCATTTTACATTGGCAGGATCTAAAACTCACAGAATTATTTTCTCAAGGTAACACACTGCAATAACTAATGTTCATAACTCCTCTATGCCAAAGCTAAAATACAAAATGTGGAAAGTATTTTGTTATCTAGAAACGGTGAGGTTCCATGCAGTGTCTACCGTAGAAAGTGTATGATGTCAGAACAGACCAAAGACAGACCAGGGATGATAATGAAAGCACGTAAAACAAATGAATAAATAAATGAATAGATATGAATACATAAACTAGTGTCTCAAAGAAGTAATTTGGGAATAAAAGATTATAGGATTAAAAATGTATTAAATTCAACAAATTTGTTGAGCCCCCTAAGTGTCAACAAATACTGTCACTGATCCTAAGTGCCTAGGATCATATCAAGTGCTTTTACCAACAGGGCTGTTTTAAGGATAAAATAAGATTTTTCTTAACGGGGGGAGATGAGAGATGTTGACATTAGGAAGCTGGGCTTCAGACCTTCTCTTCTGTGTACATCAATCAGTAAATTTGGAAAGCTGCCATAAATTCTACTAAACACAGCAGCAACAACAGGTAAATGCTGGATGATTATTAATGGTTCATAATTAAAGGCAGGTTGGTAGAGTGTGGAGACAAAGGAAATGAAATCCCACAAGACTGAGCACTGGTTTTGTTACTGTGGCTGCAAAAAAATAAAAAGTCAAATGACATTTATGAATAGCAGAACAGTAAAGAGAATCATATTTTACAAGGACTTAGATAACCTCCAGACCCTGCGTTGCCAGGAAACATAGGGTCCTGGAAAAGGTTCACAGAAGACTGGGAGGAAGAATTGAAATGTCTGCAGCATAGATTCATTGAGGTTGGCACAAAGGGTTTACATTCAGAGCCTTCTACCACTCGTTTCTACCTCCAAATCGAGGCCCCAAACATACTGCTTGTCCTCAAGCAGCTGGATCTACTTCAAGATGCAATCAAAAATGAGAATAATAAGCAATGACACTACCAGAATCAGAATGAGGAAATCATTGTCATGGACCGAGACATTCCCCAGGCTTATGAAGCATCTTCTTTTCCCAGAAATTTCCCAGCAGAAAGTGTATGTATTTAACAGCAAAATTCTTCTTCTACTACTGCTAAAATTCTAAAAATGGTTTACATTTATCCACAGTACAGAGAGGAGACAGAGCCCTGGAAATAGCCAGCCAGTTCCTGCCCCTGAAGGAGAAGGCTATACCCCAAAATAATATAATCATTGTACACACTCCAAAAGAGACTTTGGTATCAGGCAAATAACCTAACCATTATTTCACACAAAAAAATTCTGCCATGTTTTGTCTTTCTCTAGTCTGACAGTAAGGGTACAACATACACATTGTTTCTATCTGATCTTTTGGCAATACTCAAAAAAAAAAAAGCCAACAAGGACATTCTGATGTAAGATAAAAGGCCTGCACAGAATTGCACAGATGGCGTTCAGGCCATCACCTGAACACTGCTTGGGGAGGCAGCGTCATAGTCAGCACGAACCAGGCACTAGAGCCAGATGCTGTGGGACCGAATCCCACTTCCGCCACTCCAGCGCAGCGTGTCGCTGGGCAGTTGCTTCGCCCCTCAGAAACTCAGCTTCCTCGTAGGTCAGATGGAGGTAATGATACATATCCCCTAGAATGTCATTGTGGGACAATGTAAGTGTGTCTAGGTCAGTGCTCGGCCCAGAGTCAGTGCTCAGTAAAGATCAGCTGTTATTAGACCTCAGCGGTCGCACGTCAGACTCAGGTGGGAGACTGGTTAACAAGGGCAATGCCGTAGGATTTATTTCCAAGGTTATGTGCCATTTCCATTAATTTCAAGACATTTTTATTAGATTTCAAGTACATAAAACTTGGGATGTCAAGACAGTTATCCACCTGCTCTTGACGCCAACTCTTCTAAGGATAAAGGGAGAACAAGATGCTTGGGTGGTGCAAGTCAAGATTAATTCTCTCTTCCCTTCCATTCAAGAGATTCTATTCTGACCCAGACTCTCCCAAAGAAAATCATCATCTTCATCATTATTATCATCATTTATATTTTACTTTTATGGTTTGTAATATAAAATAATAAAATAATGCACGCCTTATGTGATTTCATCCCCAAAACACTTCTATTATGCATTCACTCTTCTTATCCCCATTTTACAGATCAGGATAATTAGTCTCGGAGAGATTAGCTAATTAGCCCAAGTTCATTAGAGATACTTTGGAAAGTAGAGAAAATACAATTTGAAATTAGAAATCATTACTGTTATGGTGAGTTTGTTTTGGTCGCTTTCTTTCAGTTATGAAAACATTTTTACAAATTTGAATGAGATATATGCATAGTTTCATATTCAGCATTTTCCCTTAATACTTTTCCCCTTAAGCCTTTCCCAAGGTGATAATTTTCAAGAGATGTTTTCAATGGTGCGTTATGTAAAAGTGCCCTAATTTATCTGACCATTTCTTTATTATGAGTTTTCATGTTACCCCCTGTTTTGTGCTCTAGTACATGACCTTCCTCTGTAAATATCTATACAGTTTTCCTTAAGATCAATTCCTTAGAGTGGGAAGACTGAGGTGAAGGGCATGGACATTTTTTAGGGTCGAGGGAGAATCTCATCCAGCTTGGAGACCACATCATTTGCTATTCTGGGGATTAGAGAAAAAACTAATAAAACAAGAATGGTCATTAACTCCCAGCCCAGACTGCTTTTCCCCAACCTAAACATTTTCAAACAACTTCAACTTCTCTAAAGTCTCATTTCACTCCTTATTTCCTCCTCTCTGATACTCTTCAAATTCCTCACACCATCCTTAAGCTATAAACACACCTTTGGACCCTGCAGTCTGTGAGGACCTGAGCAAGACTGAGTGGAGTGCGAAAGGGAGGTCTCACCTCCTGCAGCTCACGATGGAGCTGCTACGGGTCAGGCACAGCTCCTGGGCTTCCCGCATTATCCTCGTCCACACTCATCACAACCCTTGCCAATAACTGTCAACACTCTCACTTCAGAGATGAGGAAAAGGAACCTCAAAATTTTAGTGTTTAAGTGACTTGCTGAAGGTCCCCGATAGCAAACACCGTAAGAGGAATTACAACCAACTCTGGGAGACACGTGTAGACCTGACTGTCAGACAGTTCTCCCTGGGGCAGTAGTGCCTTCCACCCTTCCCCCTTGCAATGCTTGTTTGCTATACCCTCCGACCTTCTCTAGTCGCGCACGACTGAAAGAGTTCAGAGAGATTAGCATTGACTTGGCTGGGCTCAAAGGAGGCAGCTTGACACCATGAAAAGGGCACAGGTCTGGAAGCCAAAAGACCTCGGTTTCAGCCCAGTTTTGTCACTTGGTAGCTGAGTGACATCAGCCAGCTCCCTCCCTCTGCCTGGCGCTCTATTTCCCCATCTCTGCAACATGACAGTAGGACCAAGTGCTGTGACTTTAAGCTGGAAAAGTTGAAGTCCACCCAAAAAATTAGTTTCACTGATAACGATCACCAATATTTGATGAATTTAAAGATAACTAGAAAGCAAGTAGGCGCCCTTATGTGATCACTCATTCCTTTCACAGCTTTGCCTGAGGGTTGGTGGGGGCTGAGGTCCGGGTTTTCACGTCTGTCATGCCTCACATTGTATTTGCTCTCACAGCAGTTTTCAGCTATGCTCTCTGTCTTGAAAGAGAAAGGAAGTCTGCAATGCAATTTAGAAACTCCTCTACCTTAGACAATTAAATGTAAGTAAGTCTTTAAAGAGGGTTTCAAGCTTCAGACATCTGAGGAGTCATTTACAGGAAAGACCGCCTTGTCGGTGGGCTTGGGCTTGGGGAAAGGGTGTCAAGACTGTACCTTAGTGAAATTTGCTCTAATTTCCAAAAGGTTAATGTGGTGTCAGGGACCACACACCAGGACAGCCCATGGGAAAGGCTGGGGAACTCATTCTGTTCTATAAACTCTGGTCCTTCCATTTTCCTGTGTCCTCAGCAGCCCCCAGCCATGGTCTGGGCATTCATATGGCAAATCTCTAAATAATAAAGTGTGTGTAAAAGCACTCTCTGTGTCTGAACATCTCCGTAAGCAGAAGGAATAGTAATCATAGCACCATGACATTTGCTTGCCTTTATTAAGCAATGTTGTATGCCAGGCCCTGGGCAGAGCACTTCAAATGCATCACCTCATTTAATCTGCTCAGCACCACTTGGAGGAAACAACAGTGCTTGTTCCTCTTTCTTAGATGAGGAAAATGTGGATTAGAGTGACCGAGAGACTTGGCCAAGTTC